AAATAAGGTGCCCCCCCCCCCCCCCCCCCCGGCTTTTTTCTCATTTGAGAACTGTGACTCCTGTATACACATAAAATATGTTTTTGGTTTGGTGTTTTTGTTGTTTTGGGGTTTTTTTCCATTTAAAAGATTTGGCTTGTCTTTCAGTTGAGTTAAGGGATTCTTAGTGTATAATGAATTTTATTACATAGCTAGGACTATGTAATAAGTCAAACCCATTTAGGGGTTAGCAAACTCTCCCCCCTGCCTTGGAGAACTTCTGGTGCTATCAAGAGAGTCAGTGCAAGTAAGCATGTGTTTAAAATTCAGATCTAGAAATAACTGTGGCTTTTTTTTTTTTTTTTAATTTCAGTTTGATGCTGTCAGATGCTACCTCTAGAATACCACACTTATGTAAAAAAAGTATTTTTATGTGTATTTTATGTGCGTGCATACTAATGCAGATTATAACTACTCTATCAGAATACTATACACATCTTATTAAAACAAATATTTGGTACAAATCTTTTTACTGCCAACTAAAACTAGATAACCATTTCAGAAGCACACTTGGCAATGCCGCCTTTTGTGTAATTATCACGCACATTACAACTTTAAACTAATGGTTTTTTTTTTTTTTAGTGGGGCTAGGAAAAGCATCAGACGCCAGCCAGTGTCATACCAAGCTTTGCTGCTAAGTGAATCACACATGATCAAAGATTACTAGATGTACTAAATTTAGTAAGCCGGATTTGTTATTTAGGTTGAACTGCATGTGGACAAATTGATAAAACAATCACTTGAGTGGGTACCAAACCATAACAAAAAATGGTACAGAAATTTGTAGTAGATTTGACAGCACTACTTAACATAAATATACCCCAACTAAAAACACTGAAATTGCATACTGTTTCTATATTGTACACCACAGAAATATGAAAACCCACAATTATTTCATGTTCTTCAAGCATTCCAAAGCCTTACCTTTGAAGAGCCATTGGAGTACATCTGTATCATATTTTCTGCTCCCTGTTTTACCTTCAGTTCTATATCCAATTGCTTCTTTAAGGCCATCAATCTGTTGTTAGTAGAAAAACGAGGATCGCTATTTGGAGTATCAGGAGTCCTAGGACAATCTGTGAATTAAAGGTAAGATGTAATGTTTGCAGAAAAAAAAAAAAAGAAGAAAAAACCCAAACCCCCAAAACCTAACCCCTCCCCCCAAAAACACCCTAACCTTTTCCATTCTATTAAGTTATAGATTAGACAAAGCTGGAACATCATACTTAAGCATTAGTACTGACCCTCCTGTCCAGAGCTACTTTGCAGCCGCACTGCAAATGCGCCTTAACATGAAAAGCCTCGCGAAAGCCTAGCGACTCCTACACACGTCCTAATTTACATGAATCACTTCCGGGAGTGGTAAAATAGGCAGGTTTGCAGCTAGGTCTATTTTCGTTTCAAAGGAGATTTATTTCTTCTGGAATGTCTTGAGTCAATTAAAAACGCAGTTTTCCATTAAGCTTTCGTACACTCCTGATTTTAAACCTAAGTGTTTTAAAAACAAACGAACTTGGACAATAATATTCAATACTAACGAGCACCGTCTAAATACAGATATTAAGTAGACGCTCATTGATTCTAGTGCGAACACTGCAGACACGGTTTATGTCAAAATTAAGAACAGATGAAATGAGCCTTTTCCTTAGTTGTAAAGCTGAACGATTTTTGCTCTGGAATCATATCAGAATCCTGGGTAATTGGATATATAGGCAGACTGGTTATTGAACAACTGTGATCTGTGGGAAGGATAAAGCTTTTTCATTTGACAATATTACCGTCTTTAGATCTCCATCTTGCTGGATGAATTTAATAGAACGCAAGTTAGTTTTATCAATCAAATTATATAGTCAAACTCCTTAACTTCTCTATCCTCCTTCAGAAAAGTCTATTAATCACTGGTTCATATTTCAGCTTGTGCAACATGAACTGAAAATAAGTGGCCACTGAACTATTTCCTAGTACTTAACTATTTCCAACACGACTGTCCTTTTCGCTATCTTCCCTAACAGTCCCAATGGCTTCTTTTCCAAGCTTTTTGTAAAAGAGGATAAATTATGTCCACTGTAATAATGTTTTTTTGTTGTTGATTTCTTCTACCCTAACAACGGAGAGAATACCTTCTCCATGGGCAAATGACATTAGTTGGTCTCCTGGAAGATAATATTTACCTGATACCAACGGTACAGTCTTTTTTTCCAATTTTAATTAATTTTCCTTGAATTAAAATTAGGATGATGGATCACGTTCCTGAAATCCTCAATTACTAGAAAACACAGGCATTGCACTAGTAACTTACAAATTATGAATTACGAGGTGTCATGTGGAGGAGATGTCTTAGTCTTATCTGCCATTTCATATTTCTTCTGTAGAAGCTTCTGACAACTAGTTTTGGAAATTTAATATATTTTACTTTCAAGTTTGCTGTGTAATTTCCTCCTAAATTGCAATTTTTGCTGAGGCTACATACAGATTTCATGTAAGGAAAATTTTTAATTTCCTCTGCTGCTAATTCACTCTTCACTTCAAGCCACTTCAAGACTCTTACTGCATCCTCACCACTTAAAGGTAGTACAGAAAATACCATATGTTAAAAAAAAAAAAAAAAATCTGTGTTATTCCTCATCTGTTTTGTCGTTCATCCTCTCCTCAATGTTTTGGCTTGGTTTCTCTGTGAAACTGCACTTGAACAGCTTTACCTTAAATCTGTTATTAATAAAACAAAGATTAACAACATGCTTTCCTCTCACTTATGTCTTCACATTCAACTAATCCACACCTAATAATCTGTTCGAAATTAGAACAAACGTGAAACTTGAAAGTCAGTGTCAGGTCTCCCTGTAAAGTACATTAATCACATAAATGAATATTTACCGATTTTAGATTTATGATGCAGGCCTCTACCACTTAAAGATCCCAGCCCTCTGATGATCCCTGGGAAGACTGCGGGGCTCCTGAAGTCTGTTTTCACAGCTTTTAAAGATGCACACAAGCAGTCTTCCTTTGCATTAAAACAACACTCGAGTTGCAAGTCAAGGACTAATTAGAGATACCACGGTTCAGGTTGCCCAGGCAGCTGTTATTATCTCCCTTTGCGTGTCTGCACTGTGAAGGTGTAACCACATCATTTACGTGGGTCATCTCAAGCTTTGGTCTGCACTTGTGGAGTGCAACTACCCTCTACCATTTAGTTTAAATGGTTCTACTATATGTTTTGTTAGTAACCAGCAGCAAAGGAAACTTTTCTGCAGTATGGACTAATTGCTAAGAAGAAACCATTTTTTGCCTTCAGGCATAATAGCTGCGCACTAAACTTCCAAACATGGAACAAAATGGTTTCTTAACAATGATTTTTTTTTTTTTTAAGGAAAAAAAAAAAAAAGTTTACCAACAGCTTTTCAGAAATGGCTTCCAAGTGACTCCTCCCCCGCCCCCCCCAACCCTATTACAATTCAGTAAGCAGCCTGAGGCAGTTTCTTAGAGAAGAATTCAGATTAAAGTTTTAAATCAGCCAGACAAACTGGTCCTATTATGGAAAGCGTTGACAATCTTAGCAGCAGCACTACAAGCTACATCTGTATCAGCTGTTTCCCTCTCTCTTTGTAATGTCTACTGAGGTTGTAATCACTCCGGTATGGCTAGTTATCTCTGATCTATTTGTGTAAAGCACTATACAGAGGGGCTCGAATCTCATCTGGAGACAGTTAGTCATCTTCATAATACAAATAAGTAATAAATTCATCCAGATAATTGCAATCGATGCGATTTATGTATTTGCTTAAAGTTAAGCAAGAGCTAAGTACCCATATCAAATTGATATTTCACTCACGCAGGGACTGGGGAAACTAAGAGATTCTCCAGTTTGCCATGTTTGTTGGTCAATAAGGATGGTACAAGACTGGCCATTTTGGATGCATTCAAGTCCAACTTTGCATAGGACAGCAAGAGCTTTGCTGCGGTATGGATTAGTACCCCTAGGCATTTTCTTCTTGACAGTGAATATCAAGTGAAGTAACAGATGTATTTCAAGTGAACTTGACTTCATTTCAAGTAACTAGCATGTTATTTTTGCTGAACAACTATGAATGTTGTTGCTTAACAGTAATGAGTTTTGAGCAGCTTGTTAGCACAGATCCAGGCTGCTGGAAGAGCTGCGGTCCTGCTTCCCCAGCACCTGCAATATCCTGTTTTCATGAAAATATAAGATTTAAAATAAGTTAATAGTGATGGTTTAACTGATTTTTAAAAAAAATGTCTGGATTCCATCAGGACATAGTGCTCACCAGCAAAACCTTCTTGCTTCTAAATTGCCTTTTATCAGCGTCCTGTCTAAATTATATTTATTAGAGTAGTGACACAACTCTACTCTTCTGAGACTGCTGCTCATTCCTTTGGGAACTCTTCCCCAGATGCTAGGTATGCTATTTCTTCAATAAGCTCAGTGTGAAATCTAGGATCCCATGTAACTTTCTGAATTTGGGTTCCCAGATGGTACTGCAGCATGCTGCTACGCTACTCAATTAGCAGCAAGTGCCCTTTGGTAAATAGTTAATTTTAATCTTATTTGAGGATATTTAATTGCAGTTAGCCTTATCAGTGTCATACCCAACAGAAATACCTGTGATGCCTGTTTAGGCATTGCTGGAGGAGGGAAGAAAGAGGCATCATCAGGCTTTTCTCAGGGAGTCAGATGGTTGCATCAGCACTTGAACTAAGCCATCACTAAGTCCAAGGCAGCACTGGACATTCTGCACTCAGAGAAAATCCCGTACTGACCTCCTGGAAACTTTTGAAATTCAATTGAATTCAAATTCGGTAATGGCTAATTTTAACTACTAAACAAGTGACAGGAGATTGTTTAAAATTGCTTTAATAATGTTATTCTACATTAAGGTTCCCAAAAGTTACCATGAAATTCCTACAGATACAAGCCTTGTAGGTGGAGTCTGCTGTCTAAAAAGTCACTACCTCTACCAATTTGGTTGCTACCTCTACCAGCTTCCAGTAATTGGTCTTGTATGGACACTTTGGTGTCTGACAGATTAACCTAGTCATTTGTAGGGACAAAGAAATCCCCAAAACAGTTTCTCTCACTCCCCTGTTAGCTAGTCATATTCTTAAACAAAATAATTTATTTTTCTTTGTGACCCCTACAGGCAAATTTGATGTAAAGTCGATAGCTTAGAAGTTAGTTATGAGAATGGAAGAGGAGGCATGAACTTGTCTTTTTGATTTCATGTTCTCCATGTTTTATTCAGTCTCCTCAATTCCCTCAGAGGTTTTTCTATCATCTCACCTTCCTACCCACCTTTACTTCAGCTCTATGGAACAGATTCATTTCCCAATTTATATATATCCTACGTATCAACTGTATGCCTAATTAAATCAGTGACTTGCTGTAGGTAAGCTATTTCAATCTTACACCTCACTGAGTCATATTAAAACCCACAATCTCTACTGCTACTTTTTAGATACATGAAAAGAATATCAATTTAATCTGTGCTACTGTGTAGAAGTATCTTTTCAAGATACAAAATGTCTTCGTCTCTAAAACTGAAGTAATCATTCCCATGTTACACATTAAAATAAAGCTCTCAGATTTTCAGCAGTAATGGTCAGTAGGCTTGTCCTACTCATTTTGTATTGCTGTGTTCTGCTTCACTTTGAATTGCTGACCTACAAATTTTAAAACTCCGTGTTGTAGTATGACTAATACACCGCATGATAAGGGCAGACCTGGGTACAAAGTCCCACCTCTAAAACAAATCTAGATTCACCATCAACCCTATAATGTAAAGAAACCTATGTTATGCTAAAAGTTGTTTGTGAACCATACATCCGCTGCCAAATCTACCCGCACATTCAATAATACAGCTTTTTGGCAAACTGCAATTTTTGGTTAAAGTTTAATACCAATTCTTCAAATAGCTGTGAAAATAATTTCCTATGGCATTCCGACATGGAAAGCTTTCAGCTCTAGGCAAACTACCATCAAAACATCTTAACTTGCTTGAAATGGAATGTTATTAAAACACATTTTTCTACAGTAGATGCACTAACACTATGTTTAATGGTCTTAACACGTATCGATTACAATGCACTGATTACAAAGAAGTTATACTACAAAGTAGCGGTTCGTTAAAAAAGTAATGTAAGTTACTGCTTGATACCATAAGCAACAGTAAGAGTCACAACTGCTTGCATGGCACTTTAGAGCTCTAAATCTGGCGCACTTTACAAATATGTGTTCACACCCACTTTTCAGATAGAGGAACAAGGAAAGATTAAATTACTTTTCCAAGTTACCACAATGACCTTTCAACCAGTCAATAGAAACAGTCCAAAAATCTTCAGAGTTCAGGCCTGACAGGTCAAAGGGAACATCATCTTATAGGCAATGATTCTCTCAGCGTTACTTCTCAATGGATCTCAGTCCTGACTTTGCTACTTGGAACCTGCAAAAACCTACACAGTATCCTCTAGAAGACAGGGAAAAACATAGGGCCACCCCTCAAAAATATTAAAGTACATAAAGAGAACACAGACCTTGACTCCCAGAGCTCTTGAACCCTCTTTACCTTATTTTCAGCATTCATGCTCTGCGCAGCCTAAAAATTTCCCATTTATTTCCTTCTGTCTTTTAAATCATTTGTCACTAACTGACCAGAAAAAGGTCAAACATGAACTAAAGTGAAAAGCTGTAACTTAGAATAAGGCTAACCTCTGGAAACAATGCACTTATTCGGGGAGCTCCCATATTCATCAGTAAATGGTTATTGAATTCTCTGTTCATCCTGAGCAAAAGCAAGAATTCCCAGCCTGAGATAGCTGTGACCTCTCCACAGAGGTATCTTCTGTCACATGGCAGTGATCTTTAGGGCTACAGAATCATAGAATCGTTAAGGTTGGAAAAGACCCTTAAGATCAAGTCCAACCGTTAACCTATCACTGCCAAG